TTTTTTTTTTCGGGCGTGCTGCAGCGTTAGGACCCACCAGGAAGGGACCGCCTCACAAAACTCCATCCCCTCGTTATCTGCTTCCTGCTTTTTGTATTATTATTTTTTTTTCTCTTTTCCACGGTGCCTGCTCGTTACGARCGCCCGGGGGAGCCGCCTCCTCCCGCGCCCCAGCTCCGCTCGGCGCCTCCCGAGCGGCTCCGGACGTTTGTTTCCAGCAGCGGGGAGCCTCGTCCCCATCGCGAACGGCCCCTTGCCGCAAGGAGCGCCGAGCCCGGGCAGCGGCCGCGGAGCCGGCGCCGAGCTGAGCCGCGGGGGCGGAGGCGCCGCGCGGCCCGGGGAGCGGCGCTGCGGCCATGAGTCAGCCCCGCGGCGGCATGGAGGGGCCCTTCCCGCCGCCCACGGGGCGCAGCGACGACGACGACGACGAGGAGGAGGAGGAGGAGGAGGAGGAGAACTGGCTTTGCCCGCAGCCGGGCGGCGCGGCCGCCGCGCCCGCCCCGAGTGAGCGCGGCCGCCGAGGGGCACAGGGAGCAATGGCGGCCGCGGAGCCCGCGGCCCGTCCCGGGGCGAGCGGGGAGACGGTGGCCCCGTCCCGGAGGGAATGGCGGCCGGGGGGACGATGGCCCCGTCCCGGGGCGACCCCGCTCGCCCCGTCCCGCCTCCGCAGCCGCCGCTCGCCGGGCACGGGCCCGGTAGAGGAGCCGCGGAAGGCGCCGTTTTAACGCCCGCAGTTGCGCGTTTGGGGGCGTTGCAGCTTAGCGGGAGTTGCGCAGGAGGGAAGGGGAGCCGCTGGAAAGCCGCGGGGGCGGGAGGGCTGCTCGCCGCGGCCTGTGTGCATGGAGCTGGGCTTGCCTGGCTGCCCGGGGCTCTGCAGCTCCCTTTGGTACCTAAAAACAGTCCTTTTGGCTTCATGATCCTGCCGATAATCGCCTCTCTTCCCTGCCTGGCTCAGCTAACTTAAGTGGGAATTTAGAGGGAGGAAAAAACAGTATTTAGAAATGGCCCAAAGTCTAAAAAAAGACGCCAAGTCTAATATTTGGACAGCATCAACTTCGAATGGAAGTTCTTTCACTTCTTTAAATAAATAATAAAAACCATTTCCCCCCCATAGAAAGCAGGGCTTGCTGTTTGCCAGCTGATACATTGCAATCTTCGCTGGCTGCCTTTGGGAGAGCCTCAATATCTCAAACTTTGGGAAGCACTTTGGTAATTCACCTGAAAGGCTCCCCAGGCTGAAGCTTTGTGAAGGGTACGCTCTGAAAGAGGTGGAAGAGTCGTCCCTGTCAGTGAARCATGTTCACAGCTAAGGCAGCTTTAGGAGAAAAGAAACATTTTCTAGAAATATATTAAAAAAAGGTCTCGGTACTCCACTGTRGAAGGATTTGTGTCAGTAAAATGATGCTCTAAAATGGTTCAAGGGGAAAGGAAATCCAGGTGGCTGTGTGAAAATAGGGGAAAATGATTATGAGAATGCTGACTTGCTGAGGATCATAAATTCTAGAATTACTGTAGCGCTACAATTAATGTAAAACTTGCTGTAGTATCTATTTGCTGGTATAGAGGGTTTTTTTTAAGCTTTGTTACATCATGTGTAATTTTTATTTCCTTTCCTTGCAGCAGGTAAATGCGTTGCGGCGGCAATGACGGCGTGCAGAGTGATCGTTCACATTGACCTGGACTGCTTTTACGCACAAGTGGAAATGATCCGGAATCCCGAGCTGCGAGACAAGCCTTTGGGTACGAGTTGCTTTGGGCATTATGTGTGTTCCAGCAGCACCGTGGCCTTAACCACATCCGCAGTGAGCGAGGGGCAGCCTGGACGATGCCACCTGAGACTGGTGAATCCTCCTGAGGAGGAGGGCGGGCGCTTGCCAGCGTCTCAGCGTTGGCACTGGGGATGGTTGATGCTGTGCATGAGCAAAGAGAGGGCTCAGCTCACACATGAGTCTGTTCTTATGACGCAGTCACCCTCGGAAGGTACTTTATTCCATTCAGAAGCTGGGAATAAATGCAACGCAGTCAGTGTTCAGGATGAGCGGAGAAAGTACTCCCTAAATTGACTGTTTTATAAGGAGCAATTTTCCAGACACAGTTGTCTCAAAAGGCCCCGAATTGAGCATGACAGTAAAATGGGAAAAAAAAAAAAAGCTAAAAGGTTCTCGCCATCAGTGAGAACATTTCACTCACCATCATCATCTCGGAGATCTCTCTCTTGGTCTTCTCAAGTAAGAGTAATGTTTTTGTTTGCTTGCTTTTTTTTTCATAACACTGTGTTCTGATCAAAGCGTGTGCGTTGCAGATTTTGGCAGTGGTGTGGAATACTGAGGACTTCTGTGAAATACCACAAAACCTAAATTTTTAAAATCATATAACCATTATTTTTCAGGTGTACAACAGAAATACTGTGTAGTTACGTGTAACTATGAAGCCAGAAAACTTGGAGTTAAGAAAATGATGCTTGTCAGGGATGCTAAAGAGAAGGTTCCTCAGCTGATACTGGTTAATGGAGAGGATCTAACTCAGTACAGGGAGATGTCGTACAAGGTTACAGGTACAAACTAACCATTATTCAGTAGAGGACAAAGACTCTCTGTTAAATTCTGTGTACATACATGCATGTGCAGTAATATTATTTTTTGTTGTCTTGTGTTTGGGTTTCTTGTATCCAGAAGGGGACACCTATTCACCTCTACTGATGCAAGAGTCCTCCTTGCATCTGTGGGGAGTCTGCCGTGGGCTGCTGCAAAAATGAAACCTCAGTTTTAGGTTGTGTATGAATTATCTGTGGTTATTTTCTTCTGCTCCTAGATCTGTTGGAAGAATTTTGTCCACTGGTGGAAAGGCTTGGGTTTGATGAAAACTTTGTGGATATCACAGAGATTGTAGAGAAAAGACTAAAACAGCTACAGCAAAGTGGATGCTCCAGAGTATGTGTGTCTGGCCATGTATACAACGACCAAGGTGAGTTGAGCCTTCTTCCTACTGGAAAATAATTTAAATTCTTGTGCAGTTCAGCCCAAAGCATCTGTCTGTTTCCCATTGTTGTCTAAAGCTGAGCACTTGGCAACTTCAGTTACTCTAGGCTTGTTCTCAGGGCTTGGGAATCACAAAGGGGAATCAATGTAGTGATTATTTTGCAGGAAAAGCAAGTGTGCAGCAGAGGAGTGCGCACAATGATTCAGGGGCACAGCTTGCTACAGTCTTTTTTTTTTTTTTTTTCCTTTAAGATATTTTTAATGTACTAAGACATTTAGAATTTTTGCTGAGTTTGAACTTTACTGCCAGTTGGGAAAATCTCATCCTTTATATTAGGGAAGAAAGCAATTGTTCTTTCCTGGATTTAATGTTACTTTGAGCTATTTTGAGCATTTTCAATAGGGATTGAAATTGTAACCTCTGACTTGGTTACATTCATGCAAGAATCTAATGTAAAACTTGCCTTTGATATGTACAGATATATTTGATAATTGAAATGCTCCTTAAACATTATTTATTCTTGAAGAATATACCCCTGCTTTTGAAAAACAGCATTTTTCTCTTTTTACCGGGTTTCTGCAAGTGAGTTTAAGCTTGGATGCTGAAGCCATGGCAGTAGCATCTGACCCATGGGACTGCACTTGATTTTAATCAGTTTTGCAAAAAACCTCTATGTCTTACAGAAACTTAGCAGAGAGACTACTTCCATTCCGAGCCCCACCCCCTTTCTCCTTTGCAGCTATCGATTTCCAGGACCCAGTGCACGTGAGACTAGTCCTTGGCTCCCAGGYGGCAGGAGAGCTGAGGGAAGCTCTGCACGCCAGGCTGGGCCTCACGGGCTGCGCCGGGGTGGCTGCCAACAAAGTGCTGGCCAAGCTGGTGTCTGGCACCTTCAAACCCAACCAACAAACCCTTCTGCTGCCTGAAAGCTCCCAGGATCTGATGCGCAGCCTTGAGCACATCAACAAAGTGCCCGGTAAGAGGCTGGTACAGTGAGCATGAGAGCACACGGAGAGCCCTCAGCAGTAGGAGAAAAATAATACTGCAAAAGCTGTAGCCGAAATAACGTTGCAGTCTAGTCCCTGAAAGGGAGTGGCAGGATGGGGAGGTGTGATTAGGGCTTTGTTGTCTTTTTTTTTCCTTTTTTCTTCCTCATTTCTTACACTGTTCTGGATTTTACTTGGCTAAAGCAGTTCAGTTCTGTGACACAACTGAAAATGAAGCATTACAGAATTCATTTAGGATTGAAAAATATTTAATTTCCAGTTTATTTTTATGGAAGCTCGAGCACTGCAGCTGGTATTAGATTTTATATATGCAGCTTTCTCTTTTAATTTGATGACCAAAAAGTCTGTTTAGGGTTATTAAAAGAGTCTGTTGGAGGCTGACACAATTTTCTGAGCAAACACTTTTCTAGTTACTCTATGCTGACACCATGCTCTTGGCCAAGAAATAATGATCTAGACTACAGACTTCGGGAGTTCTTTGTTCTGTCCCATTGTGTCTTTCCCAATGGCAGATTCTCCCTTGCCTTTATTTCCCCCCTGTGCTACTGGATGCTTTTAACAGCAGGAGAGGTGCATGTTTGGGTTCATCGGTCTGACAGTTTCTAACGATAATGTACTTAATGTACATTTTATTTAGGCATTGGCTATAAAACCAGTAAACGCCTTGAAATGCTGGGTCTTAAAAGTGTGTGTGATCTCCAAGCGGTTCCACCTGCTGTGTTAGAGAAGGAATTTGGTGTTTCTACTGCTCAGCGTATCCAAAAACTCAGCTATGGAGAGGATGACTCCCCGGTGACTCCATCAGGCCCTCCTCAGGTACAAGTCTTGTTCGGAAGTGTTTTTTAGAAGAGAAAAATTTGCTTTGATTCTTATACAGCTTCACTAGACTCACTGAAATAATTTCCACTTACAGGGCTACTTCAATATAACAATTCCTACATGTCTGTATATTACCTAGTACAACTTAGGAAAAAATTAAAGTATAATGCACCTTAAAATCAGTTGAGCTCCGACTATCAAAGGCATCTTAAATTTCATTCTGCATACTTGATTTGATGAGAATTTTAACTGATTATAAAATTGAAAAGACTTTTTTTCCAGTCCCTTAGTGAAGAAGATTCTTTTAAAAAATGTTCATCAGAAGTGCAAGTTAAAGAGAAAATTGAAGAACTGCTTGCTAACCTCTTAGACAGGTGACTGTCTTCAGTAACTCTTTTGCTGACTGACTGTGTGTTGTGAAAGGACTTTGAGTGTATGTAAGGTATACTATATACTCTGTAATATTTCTTCCAGCAAAATGCCCTTGAAGGGGGCAGCACCTGCCTTTCCAGCTGCTCTTCCCCTTTGCTTTGGTCTTGTCTCAAGTCATGGATTTCCTCCTGTGTTGCCTTAATTTCCTCTTAAAACTGCCTTTCGCATCCTCCTCCCCCGGCTGGCTGCCAGCCGTGCCATTCCCATGCAGCTTCCTTGACAAACATTTGTATGTTTTTCCATTTGCTGATTCTCTTCCATTGTTCTGATGATGTATCACAGTATTTTAGTGCATGTTCCCTCATCTCCCTTATTTTCTGTGGAAAAATCCTAAATATTTCTTTTTCAGTGTGTGAGTTCCTCTAATTTCAGTCCCTTATTTTTACCACTTGTCTCCCATTAAGCAGATGTTTTTTGKTTTTTTTTCATGTTAGTCTGGAAAGTATTTTCATTTCATTTTCATAGTTACAGATACTGGATTATACAGGATACAGCTGGGACCAAAAGTTCCTCATATAATCCACAGTGATCAGTTTAGGAATCAAGAGAGATCCGTAATGTTTACATTAAATGGCCTTGTAACTTAAACTAGATGTTGTGACAGTTTCCTTGTCCCCCTGAAAAATATTTGCGGAATGCTTACTGCTTTGTGCCTGTTAATATTCTCTAGAATACACAAAGATGGAAGAAAACCACACACAATAAGACTGACCATCCGCCAGTTCTCTTCAACTAATAAGTGGTTTAATCGGGAGAGCCGTCAGTGTCCTATTCCACCTCATCTCATTCAGAAATTTGGAAGAGGTAAGCCTTGAATTCCTGAAAGTACTCACTTTGCGCTGCTACCTTTTAACTTGACTGAAAATTGTATTTTAAATATTGGTTAAGCGGTGCTGTGGTCAGGTATGAGCATTAGAACAAACCTAGAAGTAGAGACAATGTTTTGAGAAGAGCTAATGAATCTACTCCAGTGCTTTATGACTGTCAGAGTAGTACATACCAACTGGACTGAGAAGAAAATCTGTTTTGCTGAAACATTCCATTATTTACTTTCAACATAACATTTTTTAGACCTGATAGTTGGAAGCTTTTCACTTACTTGTAATGGACATATGTTGATGAGATGCACTAAAAATATATAGAAGTTCTTCCTACAGTGGATTTCTGTGTTACTGTCAAGTTTTAACTCAGCCTTGCTGGATTAGGAGCATTAAAGTGGAAGGTGGGTGGGGGGCCCTGCTTACTGCATTAACTACCTGCTTGTCTTTGGTATGGATTTGAGTTACATTCCCAGATAAATGGAATCTGTAATGGAAACTGTATAAAATGTCTCTTTTTGAGGTACTTTTAAAAATGAATAACGTACAGCTTTTCTTCTTTCTCAAACTTAATCTTTTAACCTAAGCAGTGATTGCAATTACTTTGACACTTAATTCAAAACAGGGGGCGAGGAGATAAATCTGAATCACTGTTACAATGACATACAGAATCGCTGTTTCCTGAGTTGCTTTATGAATCCCCAAATTACCTCTCACAGTCCCAGATTATCCATTGAGATTCTATGCAGCTTTTTTCTTCTAAATTGTTTGTAGATTCCTGCTATGTTGCAAGTGGCTGAAAATTATTGTTGTCTCCTACAGTCATGCAAATGCCAGTAAAATGCACTGATATTGCCAATGTTGATGTAATGAACACGTAGCTCCACAAAGGCCTTTTTCATTAGCACTAGATCATTTCTCAACGCTACTCAGCTTGGCAAGAATTCTGTAACTCTTCTTCTAACCTAAGTGCTAATGTCTAGCTACCTTCCTGGGGCAAGATTCAGCATTTTAGGGGGAGGAAAGCACTTCACATTGAGGTCAGGGCATACATGACAGGCCAAAATCTAAATCATCTGTGACATTGTGATTAGGGAGAAATCTCTTGGACTTTTATTTTAATAGACTATCTTGGAAAGCTTGAGCAGATTTTTAGAGTTTAATATTAGAGGAATTTATCTTCTCGGATGAATAAGCGTTGCCTCCTGCATGTATATGGTAGCGTAAATACTAAATACTTTCACGTTAAGAATAGCATCTTATTTTTAACTTCCTAGGTTACTATTGATCCCTATTTTTGTCTACATGCTAAATAATGAAAGGTCAGAATGTAAAATTAAGAGTGCCTAATATTTTGCCTTTGTACTTTGCTACCTAAATCATATCTTCAGTTGTTTACAGAAAGCTTTTGATGGCATACATTTCTTTTTTCAACTGTTTGCATTAGAAAGCAGCAGTATAATACCCCCATTGGCTGATATCCTAATGAAGCTCTTCCACAAGATGATAAATGTAGAGCTGCCGTTTCATCTCACTCTTTTGAATGTCTGCTTCTCCAACCTCAAAGATCTTCCTAGCAGTAAGAAAGGATCAATTGGTTTTTATCTAAAAGAGGTGTCCCCACTTTCAGCCTCTGGTAAAAACATCCAGGTAAGTTGAAAGATACTGAGAAAATTCTTTCTGGTTAAGTAAGCTCTGAGATGATATTTCTGTGTGTATATAGAGATTTAAACCTTAATGCTTTGGAAGCTTTAGGATCACAAATTGCATTTTTATAGTAAAAGGAAAGATTCCTTTGGAATCTTCTGAGCAAATGTTACATGTTATTTCCTTTCATTAGTTATTATTAAATCTGTTTTAATCAGAGCAGATTAAAGAGGACAGGCAGCTAGGCTGTTGACCCTTTACACTGAAGAGGACAGAATTTGCTGAGGGAAAAATCCCAAYCTATGTCTCCCAAAACTAATCCCCAAATTTGGCTGTTCATTCCACTAAGATCCACCATCTGTTGAGCATTTGTGAAACAACAGGCCACTCAGACAGTGAATCTTTCCATATTTTACATGAAAATCCTGCAGCTAATGTGTATGTAGTAGCAATATGCAGATCAGATTTTGGTGCAATTGATTTAAATATAAACTTCAATTTTTACCTTAGATAATAGCTCACTGATGTTTGTAATCTATCTTGTTGCTATTATAAAAATACATTTAGAGTGATCTGATCATCCCACTTTCTGTGTGTTCTTAAGTCTCCCTGTTCAGACTAGAAATCAATCAAAGATTCACTCCTCTTGGGCAACAGTCCTGGCTTCTCATCTGCTGAGCTGGGGATTCCTGCTGTACATTAAACAGAGATGTCCCTCACAGCGCTGAACACTGGACCGTATAGGGATTGTCTGGGGAAACATTTAGCCATGTTTCCACAAGATTTGTGCTTTATATGATAAATGTACTAGTTTTGTCCTGACATATTCTGCATGCTGATAAATTTCATGTCCTTATTGTTAAGGCATATTCCAACTTTCCACAAATATTTTAAACAGTAGAAAGTAACAAAAATACTTGCTCTTTCAAAATTAGAGGAGGATACTTATGTGTATTAAGATTGTTTGAAAAAAAATAGAAAAAAAACGTTGCTGCTCATAAGGAGAAAAGATCATGGTCTATTAAGGAATGATTTGAAGAAGTCACTGTTAGTAAAATACTATTTAGTCACTGATGCATACAGCAGGTGCTTATGTGTTTTTTGTTTTTTCAAATGTGCCTATTATACCCCAGGAACAGGATAATGTCTCACAAGGAGAGGCAAGCTCTTGGAATGAGAACTTCAAGAGAACTGGAAATACAGCAATGCATATTACAGGTTTTTCAGAAGAAAAGCAAAGCTGTAAAAGAAAGGCTGAAACATTTCATTTGTCTGGTGACATTGACCAGGAAGTCTTTAGGGAACTTCCAGAAGACATTAAGAAAGAAATTATTTCTGRAAGAACAGGAAAAGTGATCCCTTCAGAGAATGCTTTCGGTCAGCCGTCACTGTGTTTTCCAAAAGAGCTAAATAGCGTTTCTCCAACTTCTAAAAGAGTAAGTAATGACATGAACGCTCCAGGGTGCAGTATACACTTCACAGGGGCTCCTGACTCTGAAACCCTTTTGACACACAGCTCCCGTGCCGGCTGTTCTTCCAAGCATCCTGGAAATACACTGCCAAATGCTGATATGGAAGAAAAGCCTAAGGACCCTGCGAGTTTCAGAGAGAGAGACTTACTGGCTCTGGAAGCTGGAGCCAGCCAAACTGTTGTGCCTACCCCTGACTCAGGTACAGATGAGCAAGCCTTTGGAACGACCTCTGAGGCTGAAGGCTGTAAGAGCAGAGAGGGAATTGCATTTCCTCTTCATGTTGATCCAGAGACTTTTTTTGAACTCCCTGCAACTGTGCAATCAGAACTGTTAGCTGAATGGAAGAATCAAGAACTTACATCCAAAATGTTTATGGGTAAACACCCTGACAAGCCTAAAACAAACAGAGGAAGAAAGAATACAGCATCATGTCTGTCACAGTCTAACAATTTACTACGATATTTTAAACCACAATGAAACACTTTCAGAATAAAAGGGCACTAAAGAATGGGCACTGAAGACAGTTCACTTTATGGAAAACAATGTAGATTGTAAAGATGTGAATATTAAAAATATATTTTGGTAATCTGACATAATGACTGCTAGTGTTTCCTGAAGGAGTAATTAGCCCATCTTGCTTGTCTTGGAGACTTTTAGATTTGCCCCTTATTTTGTAAGCACAATTTSGTAAATCTTACATCGTCCTAAAATACTAGTTTGGTTTCGAAAAAATGCCATTGTGTACTCATGGTTAACAATGGACCCCAGCACTGATTGTTTGGTGTTGCTAGCAATGTGGGAGGGCAGGCAGCTCTAAAGCTAAAATCTGGGTACACACTATTCTTTTAGCTTACACCTTTGCTTCTGTGACTCTTAAACTTTGTCAGATTTGTCACTATTTCCTGTCATTAACTGGTAACTAGAAGAATTAGAAAGGGCTAAGGCTGAAATAAATATAAAAGTTATGATATAATATTCATGCATATAAAATATGTCGCCAGGCTATTCCTGGACAGTGTGCAGCATATAAAAAGTGCCTGTGGGTTTGGTGTTCAGGATCCATGAAAAGACACGACTGACTTACAGAGCAGCTTTTAATGAGATGCCATAAAATTGAGTTTGTAAGGCAGCTCTTGGATGCTTAATTCCAAAACACTGAAAGAGTTGCAAATTGCTGTTAGACAGTTGTAGAAATAAACATATTTAAAATCTCTAGTATGCAGGAAATTTGCTTATGTCAGTCAAAAGTACATACTTTGATGGTAAAAAATTATCAAAATGTGTTTAAAGCTATGGTAAAATATTTTTGTTAACTATATTTTAACGTTTCTATAGTTTACACCACCATATTCACATGTAATTAAATATATAGTGCAAAAAAGATACAAAACATCACTGGATTACATTGAAAGCTACGCCCTGTAGTTTTGATGGCACTTCAGTAGAAATTCTGACATGACTCCCATGAGCAGAAAAAAAATAGCATTCATAATTTAATATATAACAGATAAGCTTTACACATTTCCACATAAACCACAATTAAAATACTAAACTACATCCTCTATTAAAAGTTAATCCAGATCAAAGATGCACATGGCATAAGTGCATATTAATTTTCACTTACATTTAATTATGGTCTTTCAAGCCTTTTAGTCCAGCTCTTGTTTCAGTGATTAAATTTACGAGAGTAGTAGGTATTGCTGTCTCCACCACAGAGTAGGGAAGCATTCCGCCTAATTCTGGCTGAATAAATACAACTAACTTGGAATGCTCTGGGTTCCTAGGATGAAAAGAACGGAAGCCTTCAATTAGCACTCACTGCTCTTGCTTCTAAACTTACTGAAATACCAGTTATGAATGTCCATCTCTCAAGTCTCATTACTCATATGAAAGGATAAATTACGGATAAAGTTCCTACGATGTGAACTTTGGCTATTATGCATCTCAAGAGGTTCCTTAAATAGCTTCAAAAGGAGATTGTCTRAGCCAGAAAATTGACCTCCAGGAAACACTGAAGTTTCCCTGGACTATAACTAGCTCAATTAAAAAAAAGCTTTGGTATGACTTTTGTTAAGTTTTGCATAGAAATGGTAACTGAATAATCAAAGATAATAAAGTAAGGTGAATGTAAATACTTACTCTGGCAGGGGGGAACACACATACCCACAAGGATTGTTATAGCCACGGACACAAGAAGGAGAAGGAGGGCATCCTGAATATTCCACACTCACAGCTGTATTGCCACACAATAATAATAATTAAAAAAGTAGCATCAGATTAGTTATTTTACATGTATAAAATGTGACTCAAGATTTTTTTTAGATACAAGAAAAAAAAAGCTCACGACATGATCAGCAGGATGTTTAGTAGTGGTATTCTGTAGGCAAATGCCCAAACAACATTAAATACTTATGTAAATAATTCAATATATGTAGAAATTTCTACAGATGTTTGGACAGGTATGCCCAAAAGTATTATCATTGAGATGTGTTTGCATATAACTAGTGCTGAGCTGTGGTGGTTTAGTTCTGAACAAAGCAGTCAGTTTGTAAGCAGACACGTTAATACCTTACTGTATTAGCAGAATAAACAAGAACACAGTTATTTTTCTGAAGATCAATTTCAGCAGCTGCAGTATGAAAATGTTTTTAAAATCAGTTTGTTAATATTTAATTTGGCACAACCACACATGGAGCAAGTACTCTATACTGTGACTGAGCCACTGGACTAATTGAGTAACAATTTATATAAAAATTTCCAGACTGCAGCAAAAATACATAAACATGCAGTAGTTAGGTAAAACTTACAGTTAGTTGTAAGGATGCCACCAGGATAGGGTTTAACATGCACCAAGTCAACAAAATCTCGTGATGAGATCAGTCCCATGCCATAACTATGTGTTACACTGTGATATATACCGGTATCCTACAAATAAATAAATGTCACTTGTTGAACAGGTAAGAAGCCAAGTTTTAGTTACTAGGGCAGCACTATACAAACTGAAAATCTATACAAATCTGACAAACTGGCAGATCCAGGACAGAGAGAAGTGAAAGCCTTGCAGAAAAGGGGAATATTTTTGCTTTCTCAATGTAGGGAGTGCTGTCACACATCTGAGTCATTTGCACTGGTGCAATAGGCCCTCAGACTTTTCTCAAACACCTGCTGGGCCATCTCTTTCAAATGGTTAGCTACAGGCTGGTACTTTTTATGGGTGTTTCAAGGTCCTGTTTTTCAGAAGGCCTGGGAAAAGCCAAAAATATCTGGAATTCTGAATATGCAATATTTCACTGCACTAGTACAGTATCAATTCAATTTCCATGCTATCCCTGACTTCAGTATATCTAAAATAGCTCAACATCTAGCAGAATGCAAAACAGTATCCAACTATAGCATCTATAATACTAACATAAATTAAGAAGGATTTGATCTGCAGATTCCCTAGAGTACAATCTAATTCCTGTCTGCAGTAGTTGTGTTCACATAAAACTTACTATTTTTTTCCACACAAATACAATAAAGTAGTCTTGAAGCTATTTGCATTTTTCAGAGTAGAGATAATTGTATATTTAACTTACTCAAATGCCTACTCTGGCCTAACAAGACAGAAAAGTTTTGTTTTATTTATTTATTTTGTGTTAGCCACACTAACTCTGAGAGGTGTTTTCTCTGAGCTTGGCTCTGATTTTGTCTCATCCTTGATAGGAGACTCAATGGAGACTTCAGATGCTTTCCATCCACTGAATTCTTGACATGCTCAGGTTATTTATTTTATACTAAATACTWAACTCCTAAAAGGAGAAGCACAAATCATACCTGCCTCACACCAGCTAGCACGTTTAGAAATTAAAAGTTTTTACCAAATTAGAATATAGTTCATATTGAAATCCTAGAGATTGAAGTTTTTCTGTACCAGTAGAGGTACAAAAATTAAGGCAGAATTTTTAAAAAATCATTCAGTTAAATTATTGTATTACCTGGTCAATCTTCTCTAGCAGTGTGTAAGATTGCAAGGCTTTGTCCCACTTGTTTCGATATTCAGGAAGATACATAAAAGGAATAATTTTACTAGGGACTTCCTTAATTATCCCTTCTCCTCGGTATCTAGGTTTTATGAAAAACAAAAACAAATTATTAATTCCCATTTCCGAATTAGAAAAAGAGCTACACAACAGCAAATATATARCAGTTGGCTAACTCTTTTGTCAGAATATTACATTTTTGACACCAGTCATTTTAAATGACGTTTTTATTGTCAACTACTAGATAAAAACGTATTCATTCAAATAACTGTAACAATATTTATCCATTAATCCATTATCTTTTTCCAAATGAAAACTTTCAAAATCCATTTTGATATTGACAATAAACAGTGAGAAGACGTGTAATCTAGTATATTCTGTCATTTCTCAAATTTTTGCCCATAATCCTCCAGGAATTTCAAAGAGGAGTGTGGGTGCGAATCAGGGCCCCCAACAAGGAAGCAGGAAGCTCCTGTGGTGCTTACAACTGCTCACGAATGCGGCCAGTTCTCACACCTAGTTTCTGGAGAAACTGTGAATCATGGCTAAGCACCTACGGGCAGCAATTACCCTCGCAGCGAACGATGCTGCAGGAACCAGAAGTGCTTGGGAAGAGACCGTGCTCACAAATGTTTTCGTTAAACCACATGTGCAGCCCCTGATGATGTACGAATGTAAGTCAGGAGGAGAGAAAGGAAAAGAAATAAAATAATAAATAATAAAAAAAAATAGATGCAAGATCAAGGACAATGGATCTTGTAAAGGTATGGATGTTTCTCCAGTTTGCAGCAATTCACTGCCCTGATGGAGTGAGTACTGCGTGGGTGTATGTGTCTACTCCAGAAACCTGATTCTCCAGTACCCACAACAGGTACAGATGATGATGGAAAACACGTTTGTGTCTGCTGCACAACAGGGGATGTAAGCTATGGCAGAGCCAGTTAAAATCAGTGTATGAATATTTGGATACACCCTTTATTTCCACAGCTGCCATGAACTTCTTGTGTTTACCAATCTYGTGAGCAGTTCTTGCCTTCATCCTGTAATATCTTCTCTCCTAAACTCAGCATGAGACGTTAGTCAAAGAGTTTCCTCTACGCAAGGCCTCTGAAAAATATAAGTGCTAGAATAAAAGGAAGGGCACTTGGCCCACCTGCAGGCAGGATCTGCATTCGCTTTCACTACCAGATCACATACTGACCTCAGCTAGCTAGGAAACGGTTAGTACTTCTATCAATTGCTGAAAAGGAAGCTGGCACCTGCAGTACCTGGTTAATAAACACCCAATGTCAAACACRCTAAGGACTGATTCACCTTCTCAGTGTGCCATATAAAGATTAAAAAAAAAAAAAGGGCAGATTTGGGACTTCCTAAACRAAAGAGCAGAGTTCACCACGACAATTCTTCTAACTGCAAAGAATTTACTAAGGCAAATCTACTTGGTACAGCTAAGAATGACTATGTGTCTGACTGGGACTATAACATATCTTTTTCTTCTATGGAAACAAGTTTGGCAAAGAATGTTAGGCATYCAGATTCTTGTTCACTTGTATTCACCTGTATTGGGTAAGATTTGAAGTAGGAGAACAGATAATGCCACTGCTAAACTATACAAWTTTCTATTAAAATGATAGTATTCTTCACATTTTCTAACGAGATGGCTGTTTTTCATTATAGTACTACATTATAATTCTTCRGGAGTGCTACTGTTACAGCATCAAGTTCTRAAATGAATACTGTTGCTGCTGAAACTCTCAAAAAAGAGAGATTTTTGGATTTAAAATAGCACTGCTCAGGAACATATATTCATAATAATCATTTAAAATAATAATAAAAAAACAGACTGGATGCAAATTTTCTCTACTGTATATCTGTCTTGATTGATGTTTTACATAGCTAAATAACCATTAGGCAACTAAAAAAGAAGAGAAGCTTAGGCCATGTCATCYGCGCATCTTTTTCTTCTCCTTTCACACACTGCTCTTCCAGATGATTTTTCCCCCCACTCTGGTCACTAAGGGATCACTGAGCTCCCAGCACAAAGCAGAASCAGGACTGCAGAGGCAGAGGAGAAGCATGGAGGGAGGGCAGCAATACCAGGGCGCATCACCAGCTCTGCTGGTGACAGCAAGCTGGGACATCCAGACTCATCTGCCTCACCTAGCTCCACCTTTTGGGCCAAATCCATCTCCTTAAGAAAAGCTGCACAGAATTCATAGCTCAAGAGAAGGACAGATAAAGCTGCTGCCCCAGGGCCTGCGTGAGCCTCTCACTGCTGATACAACGTGCTCCGGTTCAGATGCTGGAAATAAGTGCAAAAAAAAAAAGGACAGATAAGGGAGAGTGAGAAAGCATGTTTACATGTGCAGATAACTGTCATTTCACAAGGATAATGAGGTGGAAAGGGAAATGGAAATGCAATGGTTTGAAGAGAATCTTCCTGCCAGGAACAGCTGCCAAGTTCAGGCTAAAATTGCGATTCAATATTTACTTATTCCACAATAATAACTGTTATTCAAATTTAGTCTCCGCAGCACTTTTGAAAATTATTTGGGAAATCCATCTCTTCTTCACATTAGCACTGTGGCTTACACAGTGTAACAACAAACAACAGCTTTTCTACAGCCAACAAAATTTAACTTAACAATTTTAAGAAAAATACAATATGATTAGCTTTCCTAGTCAGCTCCTGGGTAGCACTGTTAAAAAGTGAAGCTTACATACATTACAATGACAAACAAAATGTAAGTACTTACAGGTTTCCTGAATACTCTTTTGAAGGTTTTGAAGCAACTGTAACATTTTTCTCAAAAAAAGAAAAAAAAAAAAGGAAAATTCTAAGTTATGAGTTGATAAAAAGTATTCAACTGGTTTTTAAAGCAAGAATAATTTGTAAGCACTTTTTAACAACAAAATTGATGCAGTAAAAATAATATTAACATTTTCTTACTGAAACTTTTATCACTCTCCATCCTGAAGTGTCCTGGTTGTACGATAAAAGTTTTTTTGCAACTTCATCCGTAATTTTCTTATAGTCCATTTATCTGTAAATTTAAAAACAATTTGCTTAAGACAAAGAAAAATAAATAGGGCTTATACCTTTATCTTTTCCACCGGCCTCAATGAACTTTGGCTATTCCTATCAAATCAGCTGCTTTTTATCCATCATACAGCATTAAAAAAAAAAAAAAAAAAAAAAAAAAAAAAAAAAAAAAAAAACTTAATGAGAGAAAATAATAGCTGGGTTTCATGCATATTTTGTTCTGAGAAGCAACTATTTGGAGTGTATCTTAAAACTGACTGACTTTCACCGTCTCGGAAGACACGCTGGCTCACCCCACCTTATGCCTAAGAGTATTTAACATTAACATTAAAGCTAGCGCTAAAGCCACTTCTGCTCATATTTTGCCCACATGCACCCTCAACCTCCGTCCGCCGCCARGGCCGGCGCGGCGCCCCTCACCTCGCCGCCCTCTCCTTGCCGGCGCGGCCGCTACCCGCCTGGGGAGCTCCCTTGTCATGGGCGGCTCGGGCAGCGGGCCTAAGGTCAGCACCGCTGCCRGGCGCCCACGAGAGGCCGCCGCCACCGCGCCGCCTCACGGCCGCCTCAGCACGGCGGCGACGCTCCCGCCTTCCAGCGCCCGCGCGCAGCACGCTGGGAGTTGTAGTCCCGGCGCCTCGCGCGGTGCTGGGGGCTCGCCCCGCTCGCACTACGACTCCCACAAGGCCGCGCGGCAGGCGCGGCGCGCCGCCATTTTGGGGAGCGGCGCGCTGCCTTCAAACCGCTGCGCGGCAAGTGCGGGTGGTGACTGTGGCGGCGCCCGGCGCTTCGCGGAYGGGCAGCGGGGCGGCAGCGGCGGCCTGAGCCCGGGCGGGGTGTCGGGAGCGGCCCTGCCGCTTCGGGTGTTCCCCTTATCTCCCTGGTGTGCGGGAAATGGCGGCGGCGGGGCTGTGGGGCTTCCCCGCGGCGGGTCTCTGTGGTGAATAACCGTCGCCCTGGGGCCCGGCTCCAGCYTCGTTTGAGTGTTTGCTGTCCCTTATTTTATTATGTTGTTATTTTGTTTTATTTCCTTTGCTCTTTGCACAACTGAGTCACATAAATACAGAATTCTGTTTGCACAGTGTGCGTGTGATGCTGCTGTAATAAAGCTAATAATTTTTTCTTCCTTGTTATATGATGTCTTTTCTTGAGCACTGTTTTAGACTATTTCCAGGCAGGGGATTTTACCTGCGAGGAGGAAATGAGCTGCCAAGTTTCTTTCAGTGACCTTGAAAACCCTGACCATGGTATCYGGGACTAACCTGCACTTAATGCTCTTCCATTTGCAGTTTATGGCTTTACAAGCCCACCTTTCTTAGCTTCTCAGTCAGTTGCACAAATAGAGCAATTTTAAATGCCCTGGTGGCTCATGTTCTGTATATACCACACGTGCATCCCATAAAATTCTTTGGTCTGTGTTCCCACTCTGGTTATACACAATATTTGCAAAAATCATGGTTTACTGCTCTGTTCTATGCAACTTCCCGCAGTGTCTGCTTTTATATTTTTTTTTCCCTTGTGCATAGGCACTAGTGCTTTGTGCTGTTTTTGAAATCAAAAGTTATGATAGTCTAGATTTTTTTTTCAAAACCTTATGTGGTGAGAAATGTCAGCACTTCCTAATGGGAAATGCCATTCTGGMAAAAAACAGGGTAGTGAGGTTCCTCTTGCACTGACAAGGGGATTTTCTTGGATTTTCTTGCTCCCTTGTTACATTTTTTGTCACCACTAGGGTGTCACTGTATAAGAAGCTCCATGTTTTCTCTTTCTAGAGACTTTATTTTCTGMCGCTTCACTTTTCCAGCAGTGACATGTGTATGTATCAAACTTACATATAGTAAGAGTAATTCTCAGAAAAATAAATTTTGCGTAAAAATACATCTCACATAGTTTTCAGCTTATGAGAAGGAAGTTCAATTAAACTGATGATTTATGTTTTTCTTGTTTTATTTCTTTTTCCATTTAGGCTGCTTAGAAGGATGAGTGGAGGTTCTAATAAAGATCTGGATAAAAASTATGGCAAGCTCCTTTGAAAGAATCCATGGCCATCTCTCCTGACTCAACGGTATCTTCCCTTCTAGCAAGCTGCAGCATTGACAGTGATAATTCATACTCAGGCAGTGTGATTCACTATAAGGACAAGCTTTACAGCTCTGCATCTGAGGCTCTGGAGGCATATATTGAAGATTTTGATCTAAGTCTCACATCCTCTGAAATAACCACTGGAAAAATCTGCATAAATCAAAGCACACCCAAGCATCCTCATTTTTCAAAACACTGCACCAAAAAAAGACATGTTACGTCTTCTACAAGTACGTCTTTTAGTCAGGCCTCGTATTTGCTGCTTATTGTCTTTTTGTTGCTGATGTTGTTGCAATAACCTCGTATCAGCTGAGTTTTAGTCAAGGAGTATTTCCTGCACAGCTGGTTGCAAGAATATGTGGCACAGCAAATGGTGTTTGGTTGTGGCTAGCAATATTTGTCATCCTTTGTGTTTTTTTTTTTTTTTTTTGTAAGTGCTTAGTAAATTTGTGACAGACACAAAGCCCATGACCCACTCGTGGATGCAATGATAAATTACAGAGTATGGAATAGAAAACGTATTTTCTATAGTTGAATACATGCCAAAAACAATGTAAATAATGACTTAAACTTAAGTCTTGACAAAAATCCCAGTTCCCTTGCCAGAGTAAGTAACATCAGAATCTCATAAATGGAAGGAGTTCCCTTAAATCACTTCAGAGTCAAAAGCACATTCAATATAAAGCAATAAATAAGAAGCAAATTTTGTTCTGAGTCTGAAATCTAAACTAATGTGGCCTAGGAGTAAATTTAAATGGGTTTGAATTTGCTTTTCAATTATTAGTTGGCTTGAATTAATGGATATTTAATTAAATATTTAAACTTGTATAGGAAGATCGAGAGTAGATTACTGTGCCTGAGCTAGTTTATGCTGCAGATGCTTTGTCCATTACATCTGAAATAGCAGTGCCTTAAGCACAGAGATATTTCATAGCTGAATGACACTCGCCAAGGTTGCATTGACAGGGACAGTTTTGATAGCATTACTTGTTTTTCTCCTCTTTAGCCTGTAGTTATCCTCTAACTTCACACTTTTCTCTTTCTCATCTCATGAGCAAAGCTATCCAGAGAATGGTTTGGTAATATAAATCATCCTCTAGTTAAATTTGATTGATAGTCCAAGCGAAATTAAGCATTCTGATTATGACAGAGAAATTGTTGTATGAAAGACATAATCTTTTCATATATTATGCTGAGGCTTCACTGTTATTGTTAAGTCTCATTTGCTTCATTCTTTATTTCTGTGTATTACAGATGTCTATTGTATACAGCTTTCTTACGGTATTGAAGTGAAAGTGAGAAAAAAATTACTTCCAGCTAATAGCTGAGGAAAGCCTATTTTTGTAAATCAGAATGTATTCAGTAAAAACCAGGATTTGATGCCATAATTCTTCTCTGAAAATCATCCAAGTCTAGTCTTAGATAGTATGTACGTTTCTGCATGATTATGAAATGTGTGTATAGACCCCTGGCTGGCTAATTGCCTTAYACACTATTGCTTTTAGTTGTCTTTTTTTTTTTCCTGTAGTAAATTTGCTGTATTTAAATATGTGAAGAGCAATCTCTGTGCTGCATGGAAGGTCTACGACTATTAAGACAGAAGTAGTAGGGATGTATTTGCAAAACGCACAGTTCCAAATGTGTAGTTAAAAATAGACTGTAGGAAGTTGAGGTTTTTATTTCAGTGAGGTGGTTCTCCCCATAACTCAGCAGTAATGATGCTGTCAGAAGTTCCTATGAGGAGTTGTCATATGACTGTAGAATCCACATGTTATTGTCCAACATAAATTATACTGTTACATAATTACATTTTCTAGAAATTTGCTTTTTCTCCAGTGTTCATCATTAGAATGTTAGCTAAATTGCCATCCAAGAAGAATTATACTATGTATCAAAATGATAAAGATGTTTAATTAACATTTAAAAAATATTTGTCTTATAGTAGTAAACTGATACACATTAAAGGCAAAGTAATTAGTTGTACAAATTATCTTTGTGCTAAAAAACAAGGTTTCAGATTCTAATGCTCTAATGCTTTCCAGTTTGGGAAAAGCACTTCTTTTGTGCATGATGCATCAGAGAAGATTATCGTCTCTGGAAGCTGTTTTTCTAATTGCAGATAGACATTTCATATTTTTCAAATGTGAGTGTGATTATAAGAAAGTGTAGGGGAGCTTTTGAGAAGTGAATAGCTTGAAGATACTTGCTTGTTGCTCTTTTTTTTTTTTAAAAAAAAAAAAAAGTTTTTTGTGTTCCATCAGGATCAGGTAAAGGGATGGATGCTGAGCACTTAAGATTAAGACCATGTACAAGTACAGTAAGAATAGAATATRTTAGAACCTTTACTTTTTGAATACTGTGAAAGGAGGAGTAAGTTTCAACTGGTGAATTTTTCTCATGATTCTGGTTAGAAATGGAATCAGTCTTGCAAGAACTTGGTTTCAGTACCTGCAGGAAAATAATGCAGTCAGACTTTGAATTGTTACTTCATTTCAGAACTTACAAATGTATTATTTTTGTACATGTTAAATTCAGCAATTGATGTAAACTGTGTTAATTTTTCAGCCCTGGAGGACCTCAGTGGGCGTGCAGGATTGGCTGCTAGGGCGTCAGCATGTCGAAGGAGGGCCGAGCGTGACCTGGACTCCATCAGCGTCACAACAGATGAACTGTTAACATTCCCACCAGATGGATCTCAGCCCTTTGTCCAGCACAGTCCTTTTAAATCAAGGCGTCAAAATAGTGGATGGAATAGGCAGTCCATTAAAAACTCAACTTTCTACCCACACCACACCTCATCCTTTGATACTGTAAAGGAATTCTGTCTCCAAGACAATGACAAAGCTGTTGCTAATCAGAAGCTACACACAAACTTCAGCAGAAAGAAGCACAGCACATGTGCATCTCATAGGTACAGTTTGGTCTCTTCGAAAAAAAATCCAAGAACTTTCTCTTTTGAAGAGAACTCTAGTACTTTTCCTGGAAAGAATTACCCAAGGTGGCTTACCAGTGGGAAGTCCAACTTAAGTGTGTCAGAGATAAGTAGCATTCCAAATTCTCACTACCCAGTCTGGCTTAGCAGTCCTAAGCTTTTTTCTGATTCAGCTAATGAAAGCCGTGGACCAACTTTTAATACACAATGTGAAACCTCTTCACACCATTCGGAGATGCTGAACCAGAGGTGCTCCACGGATAAAGAGGGCTCTAATGGGTTTTTTGAACACAGTGGTTGTCTGGATCTAACAGGTGATAACGAAGTAGCAGAAAGTTGCAGCTGTGGCAGTCCAGACTCCTGCTTCCAATTTGGTAACTCCTTTTCAAGACACACAAAACAGCCATTCAGAGGTAACTGTGTTCCCAAGAAGTGTTTCTCAATTTTTGAGGATGTGTATAAATAAACTAAAGAGGTGTTCATGTTTTAAGTCGCAGCATTATCTGTGTTAGTTGGGCTGCACTGGACAGTAGATTGGTTTACCCCTTTCTTTGACAAACAATTAAAAGCATCTTCTAGAAGCTGACCAAGTCAAACAGCTGCTATACTTCCAGTTTTCATAGAATACCTAAATTAAGGCTTAAACGTTTATTTACAGCAAAGAGTATTTATTGCAGTAGCATGTTTAGCACCTTACTGTAAGATAACAGTAATTCCAAATATTTTAATAGGATTTCAAGCACTGAAGTAATTATATGAAGTGTAGGCTTGAAAGAGAGTGATTCTTAAACATAATGTAAATTGATCTGCCACATTACTAAAAAATATCATTTATCATGCAGTCTTTTTCCTGTTTTGCACAGTGAGCAGGAGATAATTTGTAACCCTTATATTTGGTTTATTCAGTGCCTTCTGTTTATGTAAAAACTTCATCCAAAAATCTCTTATGTAGCCACTTTTTGTAATGGGACATTGCAGTTCAGTAGCAATCTTTGTATCATTAAAAATTGCCTAGATTTACTTTGATACCAGAGATTAGCATCTCAAAGTGTTAATTATCTTAACACTCTCTAATTCCCATTTTAAATTAAAAATATATTTTCTTTGTTGTGCAATATATAACTATTGATCTCTCCACTTTTCCCAGAAGTT